TCTTTGTTCCCCAACCAGGGCCCTCGGCAGTGAAAGCACAGTCCTAACCACTGGACCACCAGGGAATTCCCTCCGTATCTCTAAAATAAGCCTATTAATGCCAACTATGCAGGATTATTTCATGAATTAGAAATTATCATGAAAGTTGCCTAATAATTATTATCATAAGGAGTAGACTAAGCCAACTTGTTCCTTTAGAGGAAAGGATATCCTGACCCCAATTCCATCTGTAATAGTTTCCTTAACTTCTAACTCTTCAGAATCCAGGAAGCACACACTTCTTCTAGAATTTAACGTTAATCAAAGTCACCGTCTGCCCAGAAACTGAGGAAAGACAAAGTAGAATTGCTTTTAATTATTATCTATTGAGTGTATATCACATACCAAGTATTGTGCTGAGTACTTGTTAATTTTATCTCACTTAAAGATTACAACAATCCTTAAAGTAGATGTTATTTCTGTTCCCAACTTACAATGAGGAATTTGCATCTCAGATATATGAAGTTATTTACTTAGGTAATATCAGTGAATCTGAATCCTCCTTGCATAGCAGCATTGGGAAAACCCACTTTTCCTCCTGGGCCTTTCTTTCCCGTGTGTCTCCTCTACTGTCACACTTCATTTCAGACACTTCTGGTCATCAAACGTGTGCGGATTTCCCCCACCAAGCAGCCCTTCAACACTATTTGGATATCCTACAATTGAATTCAATTTCATTCAATTCTGAGAATATCTACTCAGAGGTAGTGTCAGATCCCACAGACTAAGAGCTCAGTCCCACAAGCCTGCTTCCTCTCTATTTCAGATGCCAATCCCAAGTGGTAGATTCCCAGGTTACCCACAATTTCTGTCTGATTTGGTTACAAATTGGAGATTCTCACAACCCCCTCCTCAGGTTTGATTAATTTGCTAGAGCAGCTCATAGGACTCAGGGAAACACTTATTTTAAAGAATATGATAAAGGATACAGATGAACAGCCAGATAAAGAGATGTATAGGGCAAGGTCTGGGAGTCCCCAGTACAGGTAAGTCTGTACCCATGGAGCTTGGGTGTGTCACCCTTCCTATGTGGACCTGTTTGCCAACCTGGAAGCTCCTGGAAACCCCTAATATCAGGGTTTTATTGAGGTTTCCTCACATAGGCATGATTGATCATTAACTCCATTTTTAGCCCTTCGCCCTTCTCTAGAGAATAGGGTTAGGGCTGAAAATTCCAAGCTTCTAATCACTGCTTGGACTTCCCCATACTAACCCCCCTCCAGGAGCCATGCAGGAGTCCACTCAGAGCTGCCTCATTAGAACAAAAACACTCCTACCACCCAGGAAATTACAAGGGTTTCAGGAGCTCTGTGTCAGGAACTGAGGGTAGAAACCTATATATATAATTACATATATATATGTTTGGAATATATATATATATATATATATGTAATGCAGTATATATATATGTTTGTATATCTATCTATCTATATCCCATTATCTCACAAAAGCCAACATGATTTTCCTGTATCTCTCTGGTTTATTTGCCTAGTCACTTTGCTATAACTTTCTTGAGTTTCTGAAATAGTAAGTTGGGATTATGCATCCTGCATTCTTTTTCCATCCCCTACTCCACATCCTTCTCTTCTGGCTACTGTAACACACCCTGGATGTGCCAGCATTCTGCTACAACTTCTGTGCTCTGGCAAGAATTAGGGTAAATTAATGTTCTTCTAATTGAATGCATGGCTTTCTGGGAAATGGTGTATATTCTATTTAACAGATTTGCCTGAGCTAGGAAAGAAAAAAGGAAGCCGTGATGAAAGACATTTACCCTATGAAATGCAAAGAACATCACAAAAGAATTGGCTGATGAGGTAATGTTTTCCTAATGTGAGCACAGAATGATCAACAATCAATAGCATAAAAGGAAGAAGCAAGCAAGTATATTCCAGTGAAAGAGAAAAGGAAGAAATAATGGAAAGGGACTTTGATGACCTCATTTACAGTTCAGTTTTTGCTACTAATCTGAAATATGGAGAAAATAACCATACGTGCTTTTATATACTTAGGTGCAAAACAAAAACAAAAACACAATCACAGAATGTAACACGGATTCCTGTCTGCATATAACACAAGTGTTGTGAGAACAAATTAGACTGTAATTGAATGAAAGATTTCTTGTAAATGTTGAAGGGTGTTGCGCTTGGGATGAGATAAATAGCCTTTAAAAGTTCTTAGAAACTCAAGATTTCTAAGATTCTTTAAAGTCTCTGTGTGTGTGTGTGTGTGTGTGTGTAAATGACAAATTGTACCACTGTTATGTAGGGGATTTACATAATTAACCCACAGAAAAACTTTATCATTTGGTACTCAATAAATCTTTATGTAATTAATAAATATATGAATGAGGAGGAAAACCATCTCAATTCTCTTGTTTAATATGGGGCTTGGTTGACAGCCTAAAGCAGTCCTTGTCCCTAATTCCTTCTCTAATGAAACGAGGCAATCACCTATGATGGACAGTTTGTTCTTGGAGAAATTGAATAGAAGTAGTTCTGACCATGGCACACAAGGCACAGTGGGTGGAAGGAGTTATACACTGGACTGAACACAGGGAGAACAAGTTAAACAGTGCACTCTGAGTGGTGAAAGTTCCCAGTCTTTTTTCCACACTCTGATATCAGTGTGCTGGCAACCAGGTATATAAATGTAGGTTAGAGTAAGAATTTATTCTAGAAATATTGAAAAACGTAGAGAACAGATCTATCTAAACTAACACTTTGGGGTAATTCAATGAAAAAGCTGGTTACCTCATTACCCTACAGTGCAGTCCACAAGTTAGCAAGTAGAGTTTTCATTCAGATTTTTGGTGCTTCATTCTTAAACATGAAAGCATCGCTAAGAATAGTCAGATATTTTATGGGGGTATCAAGCATTCCAGACGAAACAAACAACAAGCAAAGATAATACAGACAATATGAGAACTAAAGAAAAATTAAAATCGCAGAAATTTAAAAACTCAAATCAAGGCAAAATGAAACAAAAGCCATGACAAAGATATTGAACTTCATTGCCTGCACCACCACTAAAGAAAGAGAAAAGAATGATATAGAACAAGAACAAATGGAAAACAAGAACGCACTCATGGAAAATAAGAATGGGACAGTTGACAGAAGGATGACAAGATAAAGAGCAAAAAGCAGAGAAACGCAACATGGGAGTCTCTACTGTGGTCCTGAGAACTCCCTAGAGATTGAGGTACAGAAGATGATGTACCTCTTCAAAAATTTCCAGAATATAACTAAATTCTGTTACTGAGTTATATATCTAACGTCCCTCTTCAAAATTATTTATTGGGATTTAGTAACCTTGTCACAGAGCGAGTACAGTTGTCCCTTGGCATCCGCAAGGAAACGGTTCCAGGACCTCCCTCCCCCATACCAAAATCTGCAGATGCTCAAGTCTCTTTTCCAAAATGGTATAGCATTTGCCGATAACCTCTGCACATCCTCTCGTATACTTTAAGTCACTCTAGATTACCTATAATACTTAATGCAATGTAGATGCTATAAAAATAGTTGTAAATACAATATAAATGTTATGTAAGCAGTTGCCCTGGAGGCAGATTTGCTTTGTGGTACTTTCTGGAATTTTCTTTTATTGAATATTTTCTATGTGCAGTTGGTTGAATCCTCAGATGTGGAATCCACGGATATGAAGGCCTGACTGTAATATCCTAGAGCCACTATGGTAGACAATCTGAGAAGTTCTAATTACAGCTTATTCCCTCCCTTAATAATCTAGATAATTGTTCCAGCTGACATTTTATTTTAGCTGAAACCTTTATTAATTTGTTATTGTTTCCTTTTTTATAATACTGTCTTGAACATTATCAGCAGATCCCTGTTAAGTAGGTATCTAGTACATTGGTAAAAAACTTGCTAAATTTTCTTATACAAACCTCTCAACACATACCGCTTAAACAATAGAATGGTTTCTTTTGCACATGTTAAGCACAGATGAGTAACTATGTTCTTTTTGAGTGGATTTGTGGTATATATTTAAATACTCTGGGTACCCAGTTTAGGCTATTTGAATGTATAATATATTGCCTCTCAGCTTTAGTTGTCACCCCAAAATTTGTTTGATTCCAAACATTTTGTTCAAAAATCTCTAATAAAGGGTCAAATTGTACTGTCTATTTATTTGCATAGCTGTTGCCTGGAACTCCTCAAGGATGCAGACATTGTTTTATTCCACATCCTCAGTCTCTAGGATGGTACCTTAACCCCCAAAGACACTCAGTCCATGTGCCTGCGATACTGATGAATAACATTCATGTCTTAGACACTAGGGACTCATGGAGTGCACCAAACCAGAGAATACAGGAGTGTGAAAGAACAGCAAAGTCAGCATATCCTGCTGGGGTTACAGATATAAGAAAGCTCTAGGGATTTGCTATTTTTTATCTAGATTTAACTGAGATGAGAAAGGAGAATTGAAGTCTAAAATGAAGTAGAAATTCTATCATAGATGAAGTGAATCTTAATCATTGGGGTGAAGTGCAATTATCAGAGGAACTGGGGTTGCATATCTAAGATTCTAGTACTCAAAACTGCTTAGGTTTTTAAAGTTATCTTAAATGGAATGAGGGGCAAAAAGTAACGTACCTACCTTCTCTTCGTGTGTTGCACATTATTCACAGGTGTTAAGCTTCCCTCTTACAGAATTATGGAAGAAGCATCAAACAGTATTTCCCCACACATATTATGGTTTCATGCTGTTTGGATGGTTTGTCAAAATTATCCTCCTTAATCAACAATTACAAACCAGAGCCCTACATATTGTTCTTATTTTCTTTATTCATTGTGTTTTTAAATTTAAAAATGGTCCAATACAGCTTACCTATGACTCGAAAAGATGCTTTTCATCTTTTGGGCTTTAGATCCCACCCAAAAAGAGGCCACCCCCCAAAAAACACACACACAAACAGTAACAGCAGCAGCAAAACAAATTACCTTGCGCTATATAAGGCGTAGTTTCCTCTTTTGGAGGGATGTTTGTGGGTCGTGGTGTGGGAGCAGGAGGTCTGTTCAGAATGAATGACCGGCTTCCAAGTTTTTTCTTTGTACTCCTCTTGGCCAGTATCGTGTCATATTCATTGTCATCAATCTCAGCAAAAGTGTACGGGTCTTCCTCCTCTTCCTGGTCTTCCTCATCTTCTTTCTGTTCTTCTTCTCCTCTGGGTTCACCTCCTGTTTCATGTCTTGCACTGGAATCACACCAGCTTTGACTTCTTTCCATTTGGCCTTCCGACGTTTTCCCTGCTTATGAAACATTCAGATGGCGGTTACTCATACCTTAAGCATTACTGGTGTCCATCTGTCACCTGCTTGAACCACACCCCCAAACAATTTATATATTATCCTATAAATTCCAAAAAGAGAAAAGTGAACCATGTAATTTACTAACATATCCTCCGGCAGTTTGTAACTGTTGATTTGTCAGAAAAAGTTTGTTAAAGACCTGGATTTCTTTGAAAATATATAAATAAGCATATAAATATTTTCCACATAGTTTATGCATGATTTAATATCAGGAAATCAAATTATAAAACTAAGCCTCAAATTCCAAGTGTTTTGGAAGCTTGTGTTTTTCAAGCATAATGCTCTCAGATATCTTTTTTTTTTTTAAATTTGAAGTCATATTACCTTTTATAGGGATTAAACTGGGTATTTTGCCTAAAATTCAATTTCTCTGAAAATGACAGAGGGGAATAGCCAAAACCACCATTGTTTGGTTTCTTACACTATGTCTCACTCTGGCTCTCTTGATTTCTATAAGCCAACTTATACCTCACTCTTTGATAAGGGACACTGAAAGTAGGGTTCATGACATAGAAGATGGCATGGAAAATCAATGGCTTGAAGATTAATTCATATGAAAAGAACAGTCTTTCATGTTTTTTATATTCAAAAAAATCTTTACATATTTTTATAGGAATGTATTAAAATATTCTAGCAGCAGTTTATTTAGAAGACAAAGATATTGTATACTGTGTCAATAAATAAGCTGAAGAGAATTTGGATGGCTCTCTCTGCCGGACCAATGAGAATTTTTTTTAAAATGTGCCCTTTTGACAAGTGTTTTGCTTAAAGTATTATTGAGAACAATAAAAATGGAAAGGATTTCAGTTATTGACTGAAAAGTCATTAATTTTCTGTGTTGTTCTGAGATTCATGCACGTGAACTAAAGGAGAACTAGTCTCCCTTCTCTTTGGTGAGAATCTGACCAAAAACTTTAGTTTACTTAATGGATATTTTAGTGGAAAAACTTAGGAGACAGGGAGAAAGACAAGCTGTTAGAGCAGAATAAAAGGATATTATTCTAAGAAGATTCAGCAGTTGTTTTGGGTAGGCTTATGAGGAGAGACCAGAGGAGAGTCCAAGATCATCTCTCAACAGAGCCTTAGCTTGTTTCAGTTAGTTTAACCCAAGAAGTATGAACGCCAGCATGCCTGGCACTAACTTTAAAATCTCTACGACTTGCCTTTTCCCTTATGAATAATATGGTTTTGAGATTCTGACTTCATGATTTCTGTTTCACTGACAGCATCCCAGGTGAAACTAGATTAAGTGTGTGGGAAACACTTGCACAGTGTTTCATTTTTAGTGGAATGTGTCAACTATCTTACTTTTATGAACTGATTTCCTGAGCTGTTAACTCTCTTTGTTCCTCCACCCACCTCCTTCCCCAACTCTTTCTAAAGTTGGGCTTGCACTAGAAATAATACATTTCACTTTTCATTTCCCAATGTATGAGACTGTACTTTTCATGTTGGAGTTGGACCTGAGTTTTCTCAACTCAGGTTGTACATTAATGAATAACGATTAAAATATATCATTCCTATAATTCCAATTTTTGAAATAATTGGGAAAGAATGTGTAAGAAAGATAAGAATCCCAAAATCCCAGGAAACCTGTTCATGGAATTATTTGACACATTCTAATTACGGGCCCTAGGGTCTTGGGTCTTAGTCAAAAGAACATTATAATGATTGTTGCCTTGAAAGTTTGTTGCGAAGATAAAAAGAGACTGGATGTTCTTTATAAACTGAAAAGTGTTCTGTAATGTTCTATGTTATTGTTTTCTCCAATGACTATGTCCATAAATCCATCATAAGGAATTTGATGCTTAGGGCATTGATGAGGTGGCCCCTCTTTTTCAGTTACTTGAGGGCATATGGAAGGTACCCTTAAAGAACAATTCCTGAAGGTATCACTAGCTAAAGTCAAAGAACCCAAACAAAGTCTCTGGCAAAAAATAAGTGGTAGCTTCCAGTCTTACTTTCAAAGAACTTAATCAAAGAATTTTAAGAAAAAAGACTGGCATTTTACTTTCCATTTACTTCCAATATTAGCACTATGAAAAAAAAATGATATTAAAAGTAATGCTGAATTGAAAATGTAAAAATACAGTTTTTAAATAAAAGGGAGGGGTTTTTGTATTATTTTGCTTTTTATATTTGGTACTTTTCAGAAGATGTATTAGCCAACATTATACTTCTGGTCCTAGATATCTGGTGAAAATTACTCTCTGTGGAGTAATTTTAGACCTCCTAACCAACATACCATATGTGGAAACTGACATTAGAAAAAATATGATTTAATATTAGCTCCTTTAAGAGCTTTAACGTGATATAAGACAATTTTGCTTTCTTAATAATTAATTTTAATAATTAGATAAAGTTATCCACATCTGTAAAAGTGAGAAAAATATACTAGAATTTTGTTGTCAGTGGACTTCGAAGCTACATCTCTCCCCCCCCCCCAGTATTGCTAACCCTACTCCCTCGATTTATCTCAACAGTCTGTAAGAGCTTGGCACAGCAGGTGATCAATAAATGTTTGCTGAATGAGTGAATGAATAAGAGAAGTACCATTAGGCTTCCCATACTTTCCATTAAGCAGTACTTTCCATCTCTAAATATAGTGCATAATCTTAGCAAAGTTTCACGTTCATCAGCTTGAACTTTTATAGAGATAAGGCCTTCAAGGACACAAATGCTAAATTTCATAGCTTCAAAGTGCACTTTTGAAACAGTCTTTATAGACTTCATATAGCCTTTTAGGACTTGACAACTAGAGTGACAAATGGGGTTTTAATCATAGACATTTCTTTCATCCTTCTTATTAAATTTTCTTTGTAAGACCATTTTATGAATTTGGAAAGTAAACATGAGATAGTGATCAATAAAGTGGGTGGTAATTGGTGACTCTAGGAGTGAGCATGGAAGTCTGTCGGGCTGTTGAACATTCCAGGCAGATAAGCCTCATATGGAAGCTCCTCTGGATAGTTTCCTGCCCTCCACCCCCAACCCCTCCCCCCACACCCCCATGACACACCTTAGTTCCTGCATCTGGGAAGAAATGCTGTCACAGCCATTTAACGGTTGTTCTTCCACTTTAGCAAGACAGATTTTTTTGACTTTGGTCTCAAGGCAGCGTGTGATAGACCCTTTACCACTTGCTTCCCCTGCAGCTACCAACTGAGTGAAGTGTCCAAGGTCGTTTTCAAATCTGTAACACATTAGCCTTTCTCTTTTGTCAGAAAACTGAGAGGTTTTTTTTTTTGTTTTTTTGGTTTTTTTTTGGCGGTACGCGGGCCTCTCACTGTTGTGGCCTCTCCCGTTGCGGAGCACAGGCTCCGGACGCGCAGGCTCCGGACGCGCAGGCTCCGCGGACATGGCTCACGGGCCCAGCCGCTCCGCGGCATGTGGGATCTTCCCGGACCGGGGCACGAACCCGTGTCCCCTGCATCGGCAGGCAGACTCTCAACCACTGCGCCACCAGGGAAGCCCTTTGAGAGTATTTTGTAAAAGCTAAGTTGTTGCTTACTTTTCCACATGATGCTTGAGGTTCGTTTTATGTGAAGAATTACAGACTCCTTCCAAGTTTTATTTCTTTACTTACAGAAAGTTTTGTAATGAGACTTTTTTCCTGGAAGAAAAAAGAAAGAAAAAGAGAGAGGGAGAGAGGAAGAATGGGAGCGAGGAATAGTGAAGGGTGGGGGGCAGAGAGAGAGAGAGGAAAGGAGGAAAGAAGGAAGGAAGGGAGGAAGGGAGTTAGTGGGAGGTATCTCTTACCTGATTTCTGAGGCCCTAGTTGTTAAAGAACAGGAGGAAGTCTTCTCTGGGTTTTAAAAGTTGATCTTTGTATGGCTTCGCCACTATATGCTATGTAAGCGTGTCAAAGTTTTGTAGTTGTTGTTTTAACCTTAACCTTACCTTGTAATGTGAAGTGAGGTTTTTCCAGTGGGAAGGCAGCTGTTACAGGTCGCGGTGGAGGGAGAGGTGGTCTGCTGCTCACGAGGGGCCCTCGGGAATTATTTTCTGGGTTGTCTCCAGGAATGAACGTGTACAAGTCATCATACTGGTTCTCACTCCCACTGTCAACCTCTGGTGGGCGGTGCTTGGCCTCCGTGCTTGACTCATGCTCTTTTTCTTCCTCTGCCGTTTCATTCACCTCTGCTCCTTCCGCCCTCTGCCTGTACGGCCGCCAGCTTTCATGATGGAGAACTGGGCTCTGGATGGCTGCTTATGATGAAGATTTCATGTAAACACACCATCTGGAGGCATTTCATATTTTCTAACTTCGTACAGAAGTGGTTAATTAAACTTTTATGATCTGATACAGGGGAAAGCTGACAAATGCGTAATTTTGGTGAATAGTCATTCTTGGGCTTTTATAATATTTACCAAAGAAAGCTCCATTATATCTTGCTACCTCAGTTTATGACACTCTCATACACATAATGATATATAATATTCGGATACTACATGTATAGAAAAATGTTCTGATTCTCCAGAGTTATTATTTAACCAGATTCAATATATGACTGCATTACCATATTTTTATTAGAAAACAATATAACTAACCTAATAAGTAATAAGTAAGTGATGGAAAAGGTAAAGGCAAGGAACAAAAATCTTAACTTGCCTGTAAATAATGCAATGAAATGAATCTGTAGTTTTTATTTAGTTATTATTTTAACATATTTATCACCAGATGACATCTTAATTCTTGAAAATATTACTTGAGAAAAGTGTTAATATTTTTTGATGGGGAACGCATCCAAATCACCAATAGTAAGTAAATATTTTTAAGGCTCAGTTCTCTCACCAAAAAATCTTTTCTGTCCTGAAACTTAACCAAATGATTCAGTCACATTTCCTCCATTCTAAGAATCATGATTCCATTATTTGTGTTTATACTGTATATAGTAAAATGCTCTCTAACCACTCACGGAGAAAATAGAAAAAATATATTATAATGCAATAACTTTAAATCTTAAAACCTTTCTCTTTATATTTTCTTTATAGAAATTCTGTTCTAAATAAAGTAATCATACAAAGTTAAAATGAACTTTGGAATCTCTGTATTGGAGGGAAAATGTGAATTGCTGTCATGAATGCAATAGAAAAGCAAATAATTGTTGTTTTAAAGTGTCGCTAAACTAAAATATAGCTAAAGAAGACAAATGGCAGAGTACAAAGAGGAATCTTTTTTAATTGAAGAGTTACACTGTAGACATTTTTCAGCAATGAGAGAAAAGTTAGTCATGTGGGAAAATCATGCCCATGACAGTACTACATATTTCTACATGAATTTTATTTTTAATTTCTCTCTTTCTTTCATGTGAGAAAGAAGAAACGTCTAGCTGCCAGTATTAGAACTGCAAACCAAGATTCTTTAATTACCAGCCTGGGTAGAGCAGGTGGACTTTCATTCTTGCACAGATCTCTGCCCAGACCTCATTCAGCTTTCTGGCTGTAACCCCAAACACAGCCTGAAACACAGAAGTCTCTAGAAATATTGATGGAGTAAATGATGGAGTGGCTGAAAAGAAATCATTGCTGATGCTTGCAAAGGGGATTCGCTATTTCAGTCTGGGAAAATCGATCATCAGCTTAGAATTATATTCATGCTACAGGCAATTACTTGTAGCCACTCTTATGTTTATGTATTCGGTGTTTATATTTTACATAAACACTGCCTAAGCAAGCAACAGAGTCTCCTTGGTCCTTGTCAAATATGCCTAAACCTGGAATACAGCCCTGGAGAGTCAGATGTGGTTGGTCAGTGAGTTTTAGCAAGCTTCATAGCAATGGTGATACCAATGGAAATCTGCTGACTTAGGGTGTTCTATACTTCACCCTCACTCCAACGAAAGAGTCAGAGGCTTGAGTCCAGTCGCACAGAGTTTCGTATATGAGACAGTTCCAGGTCCAAACTGTCTGTAGAAATGAGGTTGTGCTGTACCAATAACTGAAATAATGTCTTCTTATCATAGGTAGTACTTCAGAGGATTAAGTGGCATGATAAATATATGGTCATTATCAATGATGGCCTTTATCATCACTTTCGTTATCATTAAAAATTATAACAAATCATCAAGTCTTTAAAAAGATAATAAAATGTATAACTTTAAAACAGTGCATCAATTTATTACATTAATATTTAGCATAATTTTGTGTTCTGCAATAGTGTTTGAAGAGTTTACCGATTTTGCCAAAGTATGCTAGTTAAGGCATTGTGTTTCATGTTATTTGCTTTGCTGGTCAGCCCATCATTTGAAAAACTGGTGGGTCAGTAACGCTTAATGGAGCATCATCTGCGAACTGTTCAAAGTGCAAATGACCTGAGGCGAGAGCCTGCTTGATGTGTGAGCTGTCACTTTGGCCGTGAACAAGCGAGAGAGTGGTCAGAGATGGGACCATCAAGATTATCTAGGGCCTTATAGGTGATGATAAGGATTACAAGTACCATGGGAAGGTACTGGAGAATTTGGAGCAGAAGAGTGATTAGTTCCTTTCTGAAGCATAGAATATTAGGGGCAAATTGGGAGGAAGCTATTGCAGGGTTTCTTAACGGCATACTACTGGCATTTTTGACAAGATAATCCTGTGTTTCATGGGGCACATCCTGTGCACTGCAGGATATTTAGCAGTATTTCTAGCAAAATTCCCTTCTCAAAATAATGACCAAAAAAATCTCCATTCATTGACAAATATCTTCTGTTGGGGTTAGAAAATAGTGCTTCATTGAGAGCCACTGTGCTATCGCAATAATCCAGGGGAGAGCAGATGACAGCACGGATTAGGATAAGTAACAATGAAAGGGTGAGGAAAGTCTGGCTGTTTTGCAAAGGTACAGTCCACAGTATTATCTGATTGGATACAGGGTAGGACAGAAAGTAAAAAAGGGTGACTGAAGTTTTTGGACTGAATTGAACAAGGAAGGAGTCTTCATTTACTGAGATGGGGAAGTCAGCGGGTAGAGCAGATTTGGGAGTGGTGGAATTAGGGTTTTCAGATTTGGAAATGTTGGGTGGGAGACGGCTATCAGACTTGCTGGTGAAGATGGTGAGCAAGCTGCTGTATACCAGTGGAAACAGGCATGATAGGTAGCGTTATGTACATGGAGGAAGACTCTCAATTAGTTTTCTAGAATATAGAACTACATTCTATTACAGCCAGCAGGGAGCGTAGAGAGTCCTAATACAAACTTCTCATTTCCTAGCTGAGAAAACCAAGGTCTGAAAAGAATGTGACTTTGTTTTAAAAAAAAACTGAAAAAATATAGTTGTCAAATAGAATATTTATATCAACCTGACTTGTGTATTCTCTTTGGGTGGGAAAAACTGCTGGTTTGATTATTAAACACTGAACTTATTAGAAATATTTAAATTAGCAAGATAATGTAGTCGTACCTCTACCAGATGATACACTAAAAGTCATTCAGTTAATTAAATATCTTTCCATGCTCTCCATGCTTTTCTATGCTCTCTTCAGTTTTACTTTATCAGTCACATATACCTTAATAAGAATGTTGTTTATGTACATAACATATAGGAACACTTACTAGGAGAACATGTAGAAAATGAGGTAATATCCTCTTCATAGTCACTTTCTTCCTCATTATTTCTGATAACTTCTTGGATCTGAAGACAAAAAGGAATGTAATTTTCAATTATATGTATTAATCTTAATAAATCTGCATTTTCACACATACCAAATTGTCAGCTAATACCTTACATATCTCAGCTATTATATTTGGGCCATCTATAATTTTTTCAATGACACAGTATTAAAAGTGTAACTGGAACAATATAACATTTACAATAAAGAGCTTTTTAAATGGAACTTTTTTAAGATTCACAGCAATAATTATGAAATTTTTACAATAAATAACTCCTGAATGAAAAGGAAGGCAACTATTTCTTTTAAAAACCATGAGCTTTGCTTCCTTTTGAACATTTCTGGTATCTTTTACCAGTTCAAAAGATATTCTTAATTACATCAAGGATTATAATACAGTATAAGACAGTGAAATTTTAAAGTGGTTTATTTTCCATCTTTAAAAAGAAAAAGGAAACTGAGTAAGGGAATTTATGTTTGTCTTTCTGAAATCAGTTCCACTACACTTAGAAGGGAGAATTACTGAGAAAGCATAGAAGCCCGCTTTTTTTCCTCTGAAATTGCTAGTGTTTGCTTATAATCTCTGAAGGAGGCATGGGGTCTAAAGTAGTGGAACATGTTGGTGTTTGCTGAGAAAGCTAAGTAACTCCAGTGAGAGCTCTATTTGTACAAAAGCACACAGAGAAAGAGACAGAGCTTGGTTGCATTAACATAGGTCACGTTTCGTTACCATGAACTCCAAGTGATTATTCAAATGATTTATGCTTCTGTTCTTAATAAAATTGAAATTAGTCCATTTGCTCTACGTTTGGAATGTCCCTTTAAAGTACTTTTCTGTACACCAGGAACGAACACGACATTGTAAATCAACTATACTTCAATTAAAAAAAAGAAAACGAGCTTCTGCATCAGGCTCACTATAAAAATATTAAAGAAATTTTTATTTTCAAGATTCCAGTGGAAATCAAAGAGTATATATATACTCTATAAACAGAATATATATATTCTTTTTCATATTATTTTCTATTTAAATTATATTTTCCCCTTTGTGGACTCAATTAAATGCTAATGTAAAAAAATCACTTAACTTTACTAGGGAGATTGATTGATATTTAGTTGATATTTGTATACTTTGGTATTAAAAGCACTGTTGATATGGTCATTTTTTGTTTTCAGTTAGCCTGACCTCTATATTTCACAAGGTAGATCAAGAATACATTTAAAAAAATCCATAATACTCTTAAAATCACATCAAGGACATTTTTACTAGTTGAATAACAGGAATGTTTTACAAAGATTTCAGGAATTATGTGAAAATTTCCGCTATACTATTCACAAGCCTAGACGTTATAAGTTCAAAATCAGTCTCTTAATAAAGAGTCTGTGGGCAAGTATGTAGGGGTGTGTGTGTCACATACTGAGGTTGAAACATAATGGAATCATTTTTATGTTATAACTTAAGCTTTATGACCTGTGCAAACAAACACACAAGCCTAAAAATGTCTTGAAGGAAATGGCTTCCAAATTTAAAAAATAGCCAACTTTGATTTGGGCACTTTCATAAATATTATGTAAAACCGGTATTTTGTATAATCAGGCTATGTAGAAAGTAATTGTTTTCTCAGGAATGAAAGGATCTTTTGACATATTTACACTAAAAACCAATTGTGTCTTACTAGAATTCCTTACACTTACAATCATATTTATTTTGGAAAAATGTGTTATATCTAATGATATATTAATAACTGGTGAAATCAATGATGGCTTAAAAGTATGATGACACTCTGACATCTAATCATTTTAATACTTTGTTGTGTGGTACAGTGGACAGAGAATGGATTTTGAAGTCAGTCTAATAACAAATCATAGTTCTATTATTTATTAGCTGTGTGACACTGGGCACGTTACTCTAAATTTCAATATTCTATCCTGCAAAATATGGATAGTAATATCTATACTATCAATTTGCTGGGAAGGTTAAATTAGGAAATGTAAGCAAAACACATTATTACATCTACCACATAGTAAGTGCTCAATAAATGTAATCTGCATATGTTAGATATTCCTTTCTTCATTCACACTTAAGCAAGCACGGTGACCACACTGATTTGATGCGGGAATCATCAATAATGAGCCAATAATTATTTAACTTAATTCTGAATTGTGTGCCTTTGGACGTTCTGCTGTGACAGAAAAAGAACTGGAATATAAACTTTCTGATTGAAGTGTGGCAGTATGATTTTATTATTAAAAACATCTCTATAATTTACAAGCTAATAGAGAGGATAAGAATCAGAGGAAGAAATATTTAATTCTTTAATAAGTTTCTTTATCTGGGGCTAGAGTCTGACTTTATTCATTAATTTATCAAATATTTATGCAGGCCTACTATGTGCTAAATACTCTATTAGTAATTAAGGTAAATAGTTAAAAGTTTAAAAGATACACAATTCGCACTCTCCAAAAATATCCCATTTTTATTGGGAGGGGAAATAAATCAAAAAATGATTAGAATACAATATTTTATTTATTTCATTACCATAAACTCAATCCTTACAGGTGAAATGTAAAATTAAGAAATAACCAGATAATCAGGGAAAAGTTTTATTCGTTTGCTTTTTGGGTGAGGAGATTGGATTAAAAAATTATCTTGACACTTGCCATGACTGCCACTTCTCTAAATGAAAAAATCCAGCTTAAACAATAAAATCTATTAGCTGAACATGCTCAGAGTAATATTCTAGGCCGTAGATAGTCCTTGTAAGCACACAATGTTTGATAAAATTTAAATCATTCCTTATCAAAGATAAAAGAACTTCTTGTTGACTGAGGTACATAAAGCTCCACATGGCTTTGGCATCTAGTACAGTATAATTAATCATAATCTTCCCATTTTAAGGGAGTGAATAAAAACGATCTTCACATGATAGTTGGTTTCTAAATATTTTTATGAGCTTCTGAAGATACTGTAATTAGCCCAACTTTTGTCCAACTTTCCACAGTGTTGATGATAAATGACTTTACCAGCTTTAAAGCACATGACAGTCTGTTCAGAGACATATATATATGTCTCTGAAGAGTAACAAATTGACCTTGTAATATTTTTTTCATTACCCAAAATGAACGCACTAGGCTTCAGAATCTGCATTAATATTCCAATTGAAATAATAAAGATTTTTCCTACTAAATGTTAAGAATGAACAAAGTTATACAAAAGCTGTGCATGACAGCAAACATACAAGTCTCAAAAAAATTTCAAGGTCATATTGTAAAAGTATATCTTAGTTTTCATGACATCTTTTAAGAGAATTTTTTTTCCTTAGGCCATCCAGGAATATGGCCTAGAAGCAGACTTATATAATTCCTCATGAAAGTTTCTTTTTATATTATGGGAAATGGAATCCTGAATGTAAAAACTAAATAGGAACTCTGTCTGTGATTGAAAGAGGAATGAGGAAGAATCAAATAGTTGTGGAGCAGTTAAACTCTGGTGGGGAAAAAGTGGACATTTTCCTTAGCATGGACCAAAATTTTGTTAGAATAACCTGAGGATATATGCTCTATTTTTTAAGACAGAATCTTAATATAAAAAATTAAGTGATGAAAAGATAATTTGACCAGGTGGACAAAGGTTAGAAGTCTCATTCTACACAATGAGAAATTCAAGTTTTTAATTGTAACCAACAAAACAATCTGGTGCAGTGAAAAGAACAGGTGCCAAGGGGACAGGTGATGGTTTCATCTGAAAGTTAGTAAAAAGGGAGAAAAAAACAGCAGGAATATTGAAACCTATTTCCTCAAACTTAGGAAAACAAATCTGAAAAAATTTAGCTTTAAATAGATTCTGGAGGGTTGGCTTCTGTAGCTGGCACATCTCTTGTTCTGACCTCGACTCACTTGGTGTGTTCACCCAGCTCTTCTCTCAACCTGAGGCCACCCTCAAGCCAATCTCCCTGAGTGGTGACACACCGGGCTCCAGTCCTGGTGCTGACAGCTTCTGGTCTTAGTCTCTGCCCATCGGCTCTAACTAGAGTTGTGAACTTCAAGCTTGGGCACCTGACCCTTTTAACTACACTCAAGTCCTATTTTGATAATGTTTGTTCGTAATCCATCACAGTCATGGTTGCATTTGTGAGGTACTAACACCTTTATTGGGCCATATGCTTGGTTTAAATTCAGCCATCGTTCACTAAAATGTGAATGATTAAAATCCATTTCTTTGTTAAGGTTGTAGTTGTAAAAGTAAAAAAACAGTTATCTTCATTTAAAATTACGGAATCCAAAATCTGAAAGGAATCTGTGGATGTCTAGTTTATTTTCTTGTTCATACACTGATATAATGCTAAAAGCATGTGCCACAATAAAACTGTAATAATTTATATAGTTCTCCAAGCAAGTTAGTTTTAAAATGTAGCATAAAACATCTTTTCTGACCACAACGTTATGAGATTAGAAATCAATTACAGGAGGGACTTCCCTGGTGGTCCAGTGGTAGAGGATCCACCTTTCAGTGCGGGAACGCAGGTTTGACCCCTGGTCGGGGAGCTAAGATCTCACATGCCACAGGGCAACTAAGCCCACCCGCAACAACTACTGAGCTCGCGAACCTCAATGAGAGAGCCCACATGCCGCCACTACAGAACCCATGTGCCCTGGAGCCTGTGTGCCACAACTAGAGAAAAGCCCATGTGCGCCAAAACTAGAGAGAAGCCTGAGGGCTGCTACAGAAAGATTGCGCGCTGCAACGAAAGATCCCACATGCCTCAACGAAGATCCTGTGTGCCACAGCTAAGACCCAATGCAGCCAAAAGATAAATAAAGAAAATACATAAATATTAAAGAAATCAATTACAGGAAAAAAACTATAAAAAACACAAACTCATGGAGGCTAAACAATATGTTACTAAATAACCAATGGATCACTGAAGAAATCAAAGAGGAAATAAAAAATACCTAGAAACAAATGACAATGAAAACACAATGACCTAAAACCTATGGGATGTAACAAAGGCAAAACCTATGG